CCCCACCCCCCAGGTGCGGCCGCTCCGGCTAACACCTTGGGTCTCCTAGGCGGGCTGCCGCGTGGCGTGACCTTCTTCCTCTACTTCCTGGCCACCAACTACTACTGGATCCTGGTGGAGGGGCTGTACCTGCACAGCCTCATCTTCATGGCCTTCTTCTCCGAGAAGAAGTACCTGTGGGGCTTCACAGCCTTTGGCTGGGGTACGCGGGCAGGGGCACAGGCAGCGGGACCCCGAGGCTGACACCCACAGCATAGCCTGTCCGGGAGCAGAGCTTGGCTGGGTGGGGTTCACCTGGACTGGGCTCAGCCCGGAGTTGGGGCTCAGCCCGGAGTTGGGGTGAGAACTCTCGGGTCAAGATTCAGCTCAGGCCCTGGCCGGTTTGGCTCAGTGGGTAGAGTATCGGCCCTCGGACTGAAGGATCCTGGGTTCGATTCTAGTCGAGGGCATGCTCGGTTGCAGGTTCCCCGACCCAGGTGTCTCCCTCATTGATGTTTCTGTCTCTACCTTTCCCTCCCATTCTCTCTAAAAATCAATGGAAAGAACCCTGGGGGAGGATTAACAACTTAAAGATCCAGCTCAGGATCAGAGTGGGACCCTGGGTCAGAGGTCAGCCTGGAGCTGGACTTGGGATCTGGGACCCCCCCCCCCCAAGAACCCTGACTGTGAACACCAATCCCGTGTGAAGCTGCCCGCGGGGCCCATGCCCCCCTCTCCCCCCAGCTTCATGCACAGCCCCCCCTGCAGAATGGGCAGCTGGGCCTGCCCTCCTCCCCTGCGGGCTCTGGGATCAAGTTGCTGATAATTGTCCATTATTGGTGGCAGCTCCAGGGCCTGGGCTCTGGGCAGCTGGGCCAGACTGCAGAGGGGCAGGTCTGGTGCTGGAACCCTCTCAGGGCTCAGCACCCAGAAGCCCTCAGATCAACAGCCACAGCCTTCTGTTTGGCTTAAACCCATTGTGACAGCAGCACCACTTGCCCTTTATTAATTATACTAAACTTTTTCTGTTTACCCAGTCCCGGAAGAATTTCTTCTCCCACAGAGGGATTAAAGGGGGGGGGGGGGGACCTCTTTCTTTTCCCAAAAACTGAAGTCCTTTTATTTTAAAGGTTTCGGGGGGGGGGGGGGGGCACAGAGAAGCGTAACCCAGGTCACTCCCTCCCCTCCCAGAGGTACTCAGGCCGAGACTGAAGTGAGGGGATGGAGGGTGGGGACCTGGGCTCCCTTCCTAGAGGCAGAGCTCGCCCAGAGGTGCCAGGGGCCATCTGAGCCGGCATCGGCCTGGGCACACCAAGGTTCCCCCGGTAATAGGCTCCCTCCCCCCCAGGACACCCCCACCCCAGAGCAGCCCTGTGGGGAGGGAGGAGGAACAGCCTGGCATGGCTATTTCTGACTGGGTTTCACCGCGTGCCCCACAGGGGCTGTATGTGTAGGGGACACAGAATCGAGATGAGGGCAGAGGGCTGGGTGTGGGGCCTCAGGGCCTGTCTGTCACCAAGCAGCTTGTGTGCCTGGGAGAGGGGTCAGGGACGACGGGGGGCACGCTGGGGGTGGTCAGGGACGAGGGGAACGGGGCTGGCATGGTGGGCTGAGAAGAAACCTGGAATAGCATCTGAGGCCTCACACGCTGTCCCCTCTCTGCACACAGGTCTGCCCGCCATCTTCGTGGCTGTGTGGGTCGGGGTGAGAGCCACCCTGGCCAACACCAGGTAGGTCCAGGCGGAGAAGAGGCTGGGGTAACACAGGCCAGAAACACCCCGGCACCCTCTTCCTCTGGGAAGCGGATGACGGGGCCTCCTGCGCCCCGGCCCCAAGTGGCCCCAGCTCAGGGTCACAAGAGGTTGGCCTCACGCCTGGCCACACCTCGCATACCCTGACCCGTGTCCCCAACAGCTCATGTCAGAGTAGACCAGCTCTGGGCCTGTGGGCAGGCTCTGGGTGGGAGCAGGACGGGGTGGGGGCTGACGCCTCAACCTCCCGCAGGTGCTGGGACTTGAGCTCCGGGTACAAGAAGTGGATCATCCAGGTGCCCATCCTGGCCTCCATTGTGGTGAGCAGGGGTGGCCACAGGGCTGGGTGGGAGCTTTCTTGGACCCCAAGGTCTCAGCCACAGGCCTGAGAAGCAGCTGGTCTCCATCCCGCCCCCGGTCCTAATGGGGAAGCCGAGGACCCATGGAGCCCCTGGAGATGCCGTGGCAGAGCAGGGCCTGGGCAGGGCCGTGGACCCCCCCCACTCCTTGCCCCGCCCTGTTAGGAGGGCATGGAGACTCAGCCCCCCCTCACTCCACAGGTCAACTTCATTCTCTTCATCAACATCGTCCGGGTGCTGGCCACCAAGCTGCGGGAGACCAATGCCGGCCGGTGCGACACGCGGCAGCAGTACCGGTGAGCACCCACCATGCCAGGCTCCTCAGAGGTCAGAGGTCAATATCCAGGCACCACATACCAAAGACAAGACTGAGGCTCCACGAATGAGCCTGTTTCAGGGGAAGGGCCCGACTCCCGACTCCCTGGTTGGCCCCGCCCAGAAGTGATGGGCGCTCTCCTGGCCTCTGAGGCACCCCAAAGCCAACCTGGGCCACTCGGTGCCAGGCCTGCACTGGAGCTGGGGTTGCAAGGGCGGGACAAACCCAGCCCTCCCCTCAGAGAGCTGGTCCGGGGGAGCCCGAGGTACAGGTGGGCAGTGGCGGCTCAAGGTGCTGACACCTGAGGAGTGGGTCCTGGGATCGTGAGGTGCGGCTGGGCAGGGGGGGGCGTGGTGAGTGCCAGCAGAGGGAGCAGCAGGTGCCAGAGCCCGAGACGGGACTACAGTTCACTCCAGGAACACTTTGCCCATGAACTAGCTTGTCCTCCACTGGTGGCCAGAGCCTCAGGCCCCGTGGTGGCTTCTGGAGCCCGGGCCCGGCGGGTGGGGAAGAGGGGGCAGCGTGCCCGTCGAGGGGGACGTGGCGTGGCCCTGACCTGCTGCCCTGCTGGCCCAGGAAGCTGCTCAAGTCCACGCTGGTGCTCATGCCGCTCTTTGGCGTCCACTACATCGTCTTCATGGCCATGCCCTACACCGAGGTCTCAGGGACACTCTGGCAAGTCCAGATGCACTACGAAATGCTCTTCAACTCCTTCCAGGTGAGGGGCTGGCCAGGTGGGCGGGGCTGCCTGCTCCCCACGACTGGGCTGACCCTAGCTTCCACGCCTCTCTCCTCCCTACAGGGATTTTTTGTCGCCATCATATACTGTTTCTGCAACGGCGAGGTAAGTGGTGGGCAGCGGCAGGCGAGGCAGGGAGGACGCAGAGGCGCCAGGGCTCCCGAGCCCTGCTCCTCCCGTACTCCTGCCCGGTTCTTCTCTCTGTCCTGGAGGTTCAGGCTCAGGATGTGCTAGGAGTTGTGGGCTCACCCATCTCTGGGGTAGCCCAGTGTCTTCCCAACCCCAGGGCTGAATGCTCTGTCATCCAGATGGAGCGACTCAGCCACCGAGTCGGGGACATCTGAACCGCAGAGGTTCTGGGTGTGTCTGCTGCCTGCAGCCAAACACCGTGGCCTGGGCCTTGGAATTTTCTGGGAATTTGGAATTTACCCATCTCCCTCCAGGGCTGTGCTGTAGGGTCCGGGGTGGGGGCACTGCTGGGCTTGGGGTGACGGGTGACAGAGGGGTCAGGGGCACTCCTGAGGTCCACCTCCTCCTGCCACCCAGGTCCAGGCTGAGATCAAGAAGTCATGGAGCCGCTGGACGCTGGCCCTGGATTTCAAGCGCAAGGCACGCAGCGGGAGCAGCAGCTACAGCTATGGTCCGATGGTGTCTCACACGAGCGTGACCAACATCGGCTCCCGCGCGGGACTCGGCCTGCCCCTCAGCCCCCGCCTGCTGCCTGCTGCCACCACCAATGGCCACCCACAGCTGCCTGGTCACACCAAGCCGGGGCCCCCGGCCCTCCAGACCTCACCGCCAGCCACAGCTGCGCCCAAGGACGCCAGCTTCCTCAACGGCTCCTGCTCGGGGCTGGACGAGGAGGCCTCTGCGCCCGAGCGGCCACCCGCCTTGTTGCAGGAGGAGTGGGAGACAGTCATGTGACTGGGGACCAAGGGTTGGACCTATGGACATAAGGGCGGACAGACGGACCAAAAGACGGACAGTCGGTGGTGGCCCACTCATGACTGAGCTGGGAGGACAAAACAAAAAAAAAAAAAAAGGAAAAGGAAGCTTCCTGCTGTGGTCTGAGCTGGGGCCTCGAGTCACTCCAGGGGGGAGGGGCTGGGAGCCGCGGGGTTCTGTAGTCTCACCTCAGGAGGGGTCTAGCGATGTGGGCCGGGCCCTGGGCCCGGGGTCAGGGCACCGTCCAGTAGGAGGGCCTGGGGCAGCTCAGGGTCCCTTGGTGCCACACGCTGACCAGTGGGCCCTGCAGGAGTGGGCCCCAGCCTTTCCCTGTCACCAGCTGCCCCCTCAGCACTCCCCACCCAAGCTGCCTTTGGCCAGGCTCCCCCAGCAGCCGCCCACCAGCCCCAAGTCACTGTCCACCCAGGGCCAACCTCAGATCCTTCGAGTCCCTGGCCACCTCCCCACCCCAAGCCTGAGGCCCCTCCTGCCTATCTCATGGCCATGCTGTGGCTCTTGGGGGCTGGGACACTCTGGGAGCCCCCATGTGACCGCCACCCCAGCCCAAATCTGACTCTAGGGATGCAACAGGTGCAGGGGCCATGCCTGGGCACCCGGGGGAAGGTCGGCTGGGGCCCTGCTCTGGCTCAGGGCTGTGGGAGCCAGAGGGCTGGCCCGTGGGATTCTGCACTCGGTCACTGAGCAGCCCACCCAACACCTCCCTTGGCCCCTAGAATGGCAGAGGCCCTCGACCCGACCACAGTCCTGAGCTCTGGCCGGCCCTTCCCTCCTCTCAGCTCAGGCCGTGTTCTCCTCCAGGGACTCGGCATCTGGGAAGTGCTCCCCAACTCCAACAGCAACCCCTCATCAGAGGCTGGGCGAGGGTCACAGGGCCAGGACCCCGGAGGTGGCATGGCACCCAGCAGCCCAGGCCCCGCCTGTAGGAGAGCAGCAGAGCCCGCTGTAACCTGGAGGCAGAGGGGGCCCCAGGGGCAGGGCAGGCAGGTAGCCAGGCGGGAGATGGTGATGGGGTGGGGGGCGCTGTGAGGGAGGACCCCCAGTGAGACCCCAAGCCCCCCAGGGGTGTCTGAGGCCCTCCCCAGCTCAGACCACTGGGTCTTTCAGGCAACTCGTCCACTCACCCCACAGGCAGTCATGGGGTCTGAGCGGCTGGGCCCAGGCCCATCTCCCAGCCCAGACCCTCTGGAGGCTTCTGAAGTCCAGTCGTGAGCCCCTCACCCTGAACATGCTGACCAGGCCCCAGGACAGGGCTGTGCCTGCCCCTCAGAACGGGTGCCGGGACTGAGTGAGCCCCCCTCTCAGACTGGGTTCCCTCTGGCGCAGGGTCCAGCCTCGCCCGCAGTCTGGGGCTCTCCACCCCACGCAGGGCTGTGCGCACCTTCCCTGCAGATGGACCCCAGAGGCTGCTTCTCCTCTTGACTAAGTGCCCAGGCCGCGCTGGGCGCCCACTCGGCCAGGGTCCCCAGGCCAGGCCAGGCTTCCAGAACCAAGCAGACGCCTCCAGGTGAAGGCCAGCCCTCCCTCCTCAGACTATTTGCACCCAGGCCTCCCCCTCAGCTGGGCATGTCCCCACCCCCACCCCCACCCCCGTCACTGGATGCCAGGGCAGGACCTCTTACCGCATCCAGGCCCCTGGGGCAGGACCAGGCCTCCTCCCTGAGACAGGACCTCCTGGGCCATGGCTGGCCGCCTCACCCGGGCCATCCAGGTGCTGGCAGAGGGGGCTCCCAGTGGGCCTGGCGGGCAGTCAGGGCCCTGTTTGCCTTGAGCAGGGGCTGGAGCCAGGTGGTCACTTCTCCCGTCACGGCCTCGCGGCCCGGCCAAGCCGCAGGGAACATGTAAACACCAGCAAGGCGGCAGCTGGGAGGAGGGAGCCCAGGACCCCGACCCCGGCCGCCTCGGCCTCAGTGTCCAGGCACCTTGTGGGCTACCCTGGACTCCAGCTCCCACCTGTGAGAGAGGGGCCTCTGAAGACCCCTAGAAGGATGCCCCCTCCTGGGGGCCTAGAGCACAGGCCAGGCTGCAGGGGCGGCTGGTGAGCCCACAGCTCCCACGCAGAGTGGCGTCTGGGGGAGTCCAGGGTCATCGAAGGGACGGCTGTGCCCATCTCCAGCCTGCAATGCCTTCTACACCAGCGGTCGCCAACCAGTGGTCCGCGGACCATGGTGGTCCGTGAGGTCTGAAAAGTTGGCAACCGCTGTTCTAGACGAAGGCGGAGCTGGGCCCATCAGAGTGGGCAGGTGTGATGACCCACACACTTTAGTCCTTGCCTGGGGTCATGGGAGGGGCAGGCAGAGGAAGGGGACGAGGCCTCTGAAGTTCAAAAGGGACATGACCCTTCCTGGGGTCGAGTGGGTCCTGGCTCTGGCCGGGTTGTTAGAAGGCAGGTCTGCACGCGGGGTCCCAGGCAGAGGGGCTGAGTGGGTCTCGCTGGGCACACAGGTGGGTCCTCAGCCAGCGCGGCAGATACCAGCCGAGGCTGCCATGGCCAACGGAAACGCCTGGCCGGGCAGAGCTGCTGCTGGCAGAGCGGCTGGGGAGCCGGGCCTGGGCCTGGCCGCCTCCGTGTGCCGTGTGATCCTGGCCATGCAGCCGTCCCTCCGAGCAGGTCAGGCCCCGTCCAGGTCGCCGGGCCCTGGGAGCGCCCCTTAGCCTTCCCTCAGGCAGACCAGTCCACCTTCACCAGCCTCAGCCCTGCAGGGGAGGGCCCGAGGCAGGGGAGGGGGGTGTGGATCCTGTGCAGCTCCCAGTCCAGGGCCTGAGGGTCAGGCCAGGGGCCGGGAGGCAGAAGAGGACTGCAGGCCTCCACCTCCCATCCGTGGGGAAGGGCCCTTGGTGTGCCCACATTAATTAGGCACCTCCTGCTCCGTTAGTGGGTAGAGGTGGGTTCCATCCCCTCCCCAAGTCCTGACTGGAAGTTCCGTTCAGTCCTCAGAGCCACTGGGAGGGGACGGGGGGAGGGGGCGGATGGGGCTCCCGCTGGCCTTGCTGCCCAGTGGTGAGGAGGGGACAGGCCAGGCTGGTTCAGGGCATGGCAGGGTGGGCTCATGGCCACCCAAGTGCCCTTCTCAGAGCCTCAGAACCTGTGGTCCAAACCCTCCCGGACCCTGGTACACGAGGCCCTTCAACTGGCCCCTCGACCCCCACGCTGAGCTCTGCAGGCAGCCCTGACCACCTGCCCCTCCCAGACCCTCCGCCCAGCAGCCTTTTCCCGCTCCAGCATCGAGTCAGGCAGCCTGGGTGAGCCACAGTCAGGCGACCTGCCCCAAGCTCCCCCACATCAGTGACAGAGGCGTGCAGTGTCTGTCGTGTGTGTGTGTGTGTGTGTGTACATTTGTACATGTGTGTATATACTTGTATGTGTGCCTGTCTCGTGTCTATTTGTGTCAGTTCCTGGTTCTATTGTATGTGTACCTGTATCTGTCTGTCTTGTATGCATTTGTATATGTATCTATATGTCTACACGTCTTTTGGTGTGTCTATGTGTGTGCGCCTGTGTATGTGTATCTGTGTTTGTATGTACATCTGTGCATGTGTGTCCGTGTGGACCCGTGGTCTGAGAACGCCGCCTGTGGGTGGAATTTGGCCCAGAGTCATGTTTGGTTTGGCCCTCGCGGTATTTTCAACATCTTGAGCCAACATTTAAAATCAGGATATTTCACATAAAAATTCAGCTTTCCAGTTTCTCTTAAAAATTCAGAAGCCCTGGCAGCCTGGGCCTGCGTTCCCAGGAGGCCACTCTCATGCCCCAGCCCGCGGCCTCCCCACTGGCTGCCTGGCGCCTTGAGGAGGACTGTGACCCAGTGTGCAGTGTGTGTGTGTGTGGGGGGGGGGGGGGGAGCTGTGTGCCTGCATGGGCGTGTGGGTGGGTGTCTGAGGGGGCTTACCTGTGAGGTGCACGCGTGTGTGCACAGGGGTGCGTGGCCGCACTGTGACCATGTGGCATGTGTGGGTCACTGTGGCCAAAGCGCCTCTGCACAGGGGCCTCTTCCGGGCCTTGGGGGGATCGGATTCCGGCTCCTGGCTGGGCTGCCTTGCGGGATTTATTTCTGTCTGTGCCCACAAGAGGCCTGAGTAATGGGAACTTTTAAAGAAAACCAGTAAATACAGAGAAGGGCAGGCTGGCCGGGAAATGCAGCCCGACACCCTGCCCAGCCACGGCACCGAGGCCAGGCCTGCGCACACCCACTCCTCTGTGAATCACCCACTTGTCGGTCCCGGCCCATCTGGTGGGTGAGCCCCCAACATCCTCCTCACACACACCACCTGGATGGCCCGAGACAATAGGCATCTTGGAGCCAACAAATGCTCAGGCCTGGCCGGGGGCTCAGGGGATGGGACCCTCCAGGTGGGCCCACCCGCCAGGCCACTGGGCTCCACACCCTGGTATTCTGCCCACACCCCACATGCCCACCCACACGTGCCCACCCCTCACATGCCCAGGAGGGACAAGGCTGCCGGTGCCTGGAGGGCTGGTGCTGTCCCAGGGCTGGGAGGCACTAAGGCACTCCACTGGAGACCAGGCCCCAAGAGGCCTGTGCCTGGAGCCGGGGCAAGGCCAGCATGGGGTGGGGTGGGGCTGGGGTGCTGCTGTCCCCAGGACACGGCCCCCACGGTGCTGGGTTCTGGGCTGACTGAGCCCCACTCTCGGGATCATCTCTGGTATCAGCCACTTAAACGACACAGACCCCGTGGGAAGGGGGTGGGGTGCACAAGACACTTCAGCTGCGGGAACGCAGGCTGCACTGACCACACAGGGCTGCCAGGGCCCCGCCAGCGTCTTGCTGCCCCCCAGTGGCCGTGAGAGGACAGAGGGGAAAGGCTCATGGAGACTCTCCTGCCTGCGCCCTGAGGACCAGATCCCACCACTCGCTGTCCCACTGCAATGCCCAGCCAGCGAGGCCTCGAGACTGGCTGGAGGGAAGGTCTCCCACAGGCCCCGAGACCGCCTGGAAGGTCAGCTCCTGGAAGGCAGCCCCTGGGACAGCGCCCAGCACCAGAAGGCACTCAGGACACAGGACCAACAAATGCCCGGCTCTGGCAGGTGGGCCTGGCCAGACCCCGAGGA